GCTGGGAGGGGCTGCGTGGCGTGGCCCTGCCGGGAGAGGCTCAGCCCCTTCTGCTCCCTCCAGCTCCGAGATGCACGTGCCGTCCGTGGCCCTGCGCTTCGGCCTCATCATGGAGGCCTACTGCCGGGGCAGCACCCACCACATGAAGGTGCTGATGAAGCAGGTGAGGCTCGGGGCCCCCACCCCAGGCTGGGCTCCACTCTTGGGCAGGGCCAGCCAAGCCCCTATAGAATCACCTAGGCCGGCCTGAGGCTTGGGGCCTGCCCCTCCTGCCCTGCCCACACTGCCCTCCCGTTCTCCTGGCCAGGGGGAAGCGCTGAGCAAACTGAAGGCCTTGAATGACTTTGTCAAAGTGAGTTCCCAGAAGAGCCCCAAGCCCCAGACCAAGGAGCTGATGCACCTGTGCATGCGCCAGGAGACCTACCTGGAGGCCCTCTCCCACCTGCAGTCCCCGCTCGACCCCAGCATCCTGCTGGCTGAAGTCTGGTGAGCCCCACCGCGGGCCTCCCCTCCCCCCCAGAGGCCCCGGAAGGGCCCCGCTGACCGCCCTCTGCCCGGCAGTGTGGAGCAGTGCACCTTCATGGACTCCAAGATGAAGCCACTGTGGGTCATGTACAGCAACGAGGAGGCGGGGAGCGACGGCAGTGTGGGGATCATCTTTAAGAACGGGGATGGTGAGCAGGCCGGGCCTCCCCACACCTCCCTCGGGGTCCCTAGAGGGCGAGCTCAGGAGAAGTCCGGGAGCCCTGGGGCCTAGGCATGGCCGGGAGTGCAGAACCTTCTAGAAACTCATGCTTTTCTTCCGGGGGCCTGCGGCACAGACCTCCGCCAGGACATGCTGACGCTGCAGATGATCCAGCTCATGGACATCCTGTGGAAGCAGGAGGGGCTGGACCTGAGGTGAGGACCCCCCCCCCCGTCACCCATCTGTGCCTGCGCCAGGCCTGGGACCCTGTCCCTTTGGAGGGGTCCCCTGCCAAAGCTGACATTACCACCTCAGGAGAAATGGCTGTTCTAAGAGCAGGGACCAGTTTAAAACTCGGGCCACAGGGGGCGATAGGGCCCCAGGATGAGGTGGAGGCCAGCCTGGCGGCGAGCGTCCGTCTCACCCGTTTCCTTTGCCCCGAGCACCCGTGGCTTCCTGCCCCTTCTTCCAAGCCACGTGCACTCTTCCCCGAGAGAGCGTGAGCTCAGCTGAGGTGCTGCTTCTCTGCATCTTGGGTGCTGGTGCTGACCTCTCCAAGCAGCCTTCCCCTGGGGCGCCGGGAGTCAAGGGCTCCTCCCCAGCTGCTGCTGCTTTTCCCCTTTCATCTTGAGGAGCATCTCCTGGGGCTACTTTGTGTGCCTTGAGCTCCTTGGGGGTCGGGCAGCCCCAGGGACAGCCCTTGACCACTGCCTGCCCCTCTTGCCACCTGGCTAGGATGACCCCCTATGGCTGCCTCTCCACCGGGGACCGCACGGGCCTCATCGAGGTGGTGCTCCACTCGGACACCATCGCCAACATCCAGCTAAACAAGAGCAACATGGCAGCCACGGCCGCGTTCAACAAGGACGCCCTGCTCAACTGGCTCAAGTCTAAGAACCCTGGGTAGGTTTCAGGCCCTGGGGACAGATGTCCCCTCTTATCCAAGAGGCGACGTTTGCAAATCAAAGGTGAAGGGACAGGCCTGTGACAGCCTCTGTGACTTCCAGGCTTAGCCAGGGACCAGCCCATGTCTGTGTTGGAGTGGGGTGGGGCTCTGTTCCCCCCTGTATCAGTCACCTATTGCTGTGTAACAGCCACCCTGAACTTAGGGACATGAAACCACCCCCATTATTGTAGCCGGGGAGACTCGGGAGCTGCAGGCTATCAAAAGCCATGGTTTCCAACCTCCCCTCCTCCCCCCCAGGGAGGCCCTGGACAGAGCCATTGAGGAGTTCACGCTCTCCTGCGCGGGCTACTGTGTGGCCACGTACGTGCTGGGCATCGGCGACAGGCACAGCGACAACATCATGATCCGGGAGAATGGGCAGGTAGGAGCCGTGTGGCCGTGCCTGTCCTCCGGCCCCTGCCCTCGGGCTTTCTTCTCTGCACTTGGCTCGAGGCAGAGCCCCTCCAAGCCCTTCCGGTTCCTTCTCAGTCTCTGCCCCTCCCTTCTGTTCCCTTAGCTGTTCCACATTGACTTTGGCCACTTTCTGGGGAACTTCAAGACCAAGTTCGGAATCAACCGCGAGCGGGTGCCATTCATCCTCACCTATGACTTCGTCCATGTGATTCAGCAGGGAAAGACTAATAACAGTGAGAAGTTTGAAAGGTGAGGGTGCCTCAGCCCCCTGGACGCCCCTCGGGCCCGGGGCCCCACACGGGATGCAGAGAGGGGGCCCTGTGGGGGGAGGCAGGCTGGGGGTGCGGGTGGGAGTGGCCAGGAGGACCCAGGCCCGCCTCCCCTGCAGGTTCCGGGGCTACTGCGAGCGAGCCTACACCATCCTGCGGCGCCACGGGCTGCTCTTCCTCCACCTCTTCGCCCTGATGCGGGCGGCGGGCCTGCCCGAGCTCAGCTGCTCCAAAGACATCCAGTATCTCAAGGTAACGGCCAGGGCAGGGCCGCCAGCCAGGAGACCGCGGCGCCCCGACGTCCCAGGCCTGCCTCCCAGCAGCATGACCTAGGGGACCCCCACCCTGGGTGTGGTGGACCCACAGGGCGCTCCTGACTCTCGGGTTCCTCGCGCCGGCTCAGGACCCAGCAGTGGGGCCTGGTGGAAGCAGCCGGAGGTAGCCCGATTCTGTTGGGATGGGCATCTTATTTTGAGGGTGGATCTGGGGCCTGCCTGGGTTTGGGATCAGAATAAAGAGCTCTTGCTTCCCAAGGGAGATGTTGGGGGGCCATCTCCCAACTCTCCTCACAGTTCTTCTAGGAGGGAGCTTGAGCTACACGGAGAGGGCAGGAGGCGGGAGGCGGGAGGGCCCCCTTCCTGAGCAGGGACCGGGCCCCTCAGTGCTTCCCCCGTTTTGCCTCAGGACTCTCTGGCGCTGGGGAAAACCGAGGAGGAGGCGCTGAAGCACTTCCGAGTGAAGTTTAACGAGGCGCTGCGGGAGAGCTGGAAAACCAAAGTGAACTGGCTGGCCCACAACGTGTCCAAAGATAACAGGCAATAGCAGCCCCTCCCGGCGCTGCGCGGACCCCTCCAAGCCCTGGGCCCGGACACGAGCAAACCGTCGATCCTGGGAACCAGGCCCCGTCAGCCGCCCTTGGGGCCTAAGAGCCTGAACCGCACCCGATGGGAAAGAACTCTTACAACTGCCTTTTGTTTACACTGGTTATTTATTAATGACTTGAAATGTTTCAGGAACTAAACAGCCATAAGCGGAAATGCATCCTTCGTGCAGGGGTGGGGCGCTGTCCTCGCGTTCCCAGTCAGAGCCCTGAGCTTTGACGAGAAGACACTGTGAGGTGGGCGCCTGGAGACAGCACCCTGTGGAGGATCGTAATCCCAAGTCTTCCGGCAGGTGGACCTGGACCCAGCAAAGACTTGTCCCCACTGGGGAGCTGCCTTCTTCCCAGGGCTCCGGGACTGCGCGGGTCTTGGTGCCTGAACGACCCGGTGGTGCCTGCTGTCCAGACAGGACGCCCACCCTCCCTCCGTTCACCCCTCCACCTCTTGCTCTCCGTTGACTTGAGTTCTGGGCAGCTCCCAGAGGAAGCCTGGTACCCTCTAGATTCAGGGATGCTTGCTTTCCACTTTTAAAGTGACTCTTGGGTACGGGAATTCTCTCATCTCTCTGCTATAAAGTGATTTTGTTTGCGGGTAAGAAAAAAATAGCCAAACTACTTCCTGAACCTCTACCGGCTGGGGAGAACAGCCTCAGCCCCCGTAAAGTATAATATATGCTGGTCCTCAAGACGTATTAAAAGAACCTGAGCTTGACTTAGCTCATCCTGGTTGTGGATTAAGGGGAAAGCAGCTCAGAGTACTTTGCGCAATTACCTCCTGTGGGCTTCCTCTATTTTTTTTTTAAAGGTTTTTAGAGAGGAAGGGAATGGGAGAGAAACATCAGTTGGCTGCCTCCTGCCCGCCCCTTACTGGGGATCGAGCCTGCAACCCTGGGCGTGTGCCCTGACCAGGCATCGAACCGGCAACCTTTCGGTGCGTGGGCCGATGCCCCGCCAGCTGAGCCACACCAGCCGGGGGCTGTGTGCTGCCCCTTAAAACAGGTGTTAAGGACTTGATCTCTTCCAGAGCGCTCGCCTTCGACAACCAGCTGTGAGCAGTCAGGTACCTGAGGTGTGAGTTAGGGGCATGGTGGAAATTTCTGTGACAGCATTCAGCTTGGCACGTCCAGCTCCAGCCTTAGGCAGACCTGGGCAGCTCCGGAAATGCAGATTCCTGGACCTCTCCCAGACTTCTGACGCTGGCTCTGGAGACGGCCAGGAACCCGGGCCTTTTGAAGCCCACAGGGGCCCTAGTGAATTAGCTGGCTTGGGACCCACCAGGCTACACTGCTGATCTCGCAAAGGCCTTGCGGGGCTCGGCAGAGCCAGAAGTGGCTTCCCGCTCAACCGCCCAGGGACCGACTCTTCTGGGAGGCGCGGTCCCTGAGCCACCAGTACCACCCACGGTCACCGCCGACCACACTCCTTCCCGGCTAAGGTGCTGGCTTCCTGAGGCCCACCTCACCCGTCTGGACATAGGAAAAGCCAGGTGTACGTCTGTCTGTTATTTATTTACGGGAGCCTGTGTGCTCCCTGGCGTGGGCGGCACACTTTGCACATGCACAGCAGTTTCTGATCTGGGTGCACGGCCTGCGCCTGGAGAAGTGAATTTTTTAAAAAATCCTTTCATGTTTCTGTGTGGGGAAGGCGAGTTCTGCGTAGCGGGTGTCGGCTGGTGAGCAGCACTCTGTGAAACTTGCAACGAACGAGAGGTAAAAGCAGATTGAAAGAAATAAAGGCCTTTTCGTGTGATGTTCTCGGCTCGGGAAGAAACCAGGGGCACAGGGTTAAACACCACACGCTCTCCACTGGGGTTAGAACCAGAATTTTATTGTAGTGCAGACACTTCTGACCTATCACCAATGTACACGTCGGCAGGTGGGACCAGCGGCTAAGACAGCGGACGGCTCGCCTCCGCGCTAGCATCTACCCGCGGTCTAAACAGCAGCTACAGTGACAGCACGTGGGGGGGCCACAGACACGGGACAGGCGCAGTGTCCTCGAACCCAGCAGTCAGGGTCATGGGACAGTATTCAAAAGTACTTGCCCGTTTTAGAAATCTAAAATTTTACACATAAATTGAAAACAAAGTGCTGCAGGGTTTCCCTCGTGACTTTCGCTCCCTTCCCTTCACGCCCAGCAGGGCAGCAGGCCCCTCACGCCCGGGAGCGGGGTTCCCGGGGCGCCGGGGAGGACAGAGCTCGGGCTGCTGGGGGAAGTCAAATTCTGGTTTTGGGCCGCTGGGCGTCTGTTCAGCGAACGTGTCACCAGACCTTCTGAGTATGGATCGCTCGGGCCTGCTGCTGTCTCCGACCCAAGTGGTCGGACGGTCGGTGCCGTCCGTATTGTGCATGCGTCCTCTGGTATGAAGGGTACACGTGAGGAGCCCCGAGGCTGCACACGGGGAGTCCGGCTTCCGGCACAGGGCGCTGTATGCAAGGGATCCCCGCTCCCCACCCCTCTGCCACGTGGGAAACTGGTGGGATGACACAGACAGGGCCTGGCCACGTCCAGCCAGGGAGGGCGCCCCGCCACAAGCAGCACACCACACCCCTGCCCGCGACTGGCTGGCCCTGCACGGGGCCAAGACCTGAGGCTGGGCAGTCCTGGGTGCCGCGTGCCCGAGCGGGGTGCCCCGTTCTCGTCTGGGGGGCACCGAGGGGTCTCCCGCACTCAGTGTTTCACTTCACCTGCATTCCAACCCTGGGTTACACTAGCACAAAGGACATGAGGAATCCCAATTTATTTACAAAATATTAAAAAGTCAGTTCATCATCTACATATGAACCCCCATTCGGCCATTTTATACATGCACTAGTTTGGGGAAAATGAAAAATTAAAAAATAAAACAAAACTAAAAAAACGGAGGGATTACCAGGTGGGAGTGAGCAGTTTTAACCCTTTGTCACCGAGTCCAGATTCGGCGTTTGTGGAGGCGCGAGGGGGCCACACAGAGCGAGATGACGGGAGGGCGCGTGTCGGCTCCTCGCGGGACAGGCCCAGGCGGCGGGCGGGGGAGGGGGCCTGGGGTCCTGCACACCAAGCGCGGGCGGCGAGGGGAGGGTCAGCGGACCTACTGGCCAGACGACTTTGTACACGTGGCCCCGGGGGCAGGCGCGACGGGCGGCAGTTTCCGGATGCTGGCGGCGGGGGCTCAGTAGCTGAGGGTGGAGTCGTCCCACTCCAGCTGCTGCTGCCGGCCGGCCGCCTGCTGGTCCCCGTGCTCTCCCTCCTCCTCGCTGCTCTCCGACTCGGCGCTCGTGACGTCATCCTCGCCTTCCTCGCTCTCTTCCTCCTCCTCCTCCTCACTGTGCTGGTCCTCGTAGGTCTGAGGAAGAGGCGGCCGCGTGAGCCGGGGCCCCGCAGAGGAAGGGGCTCCCGTGTCGCTCCACAGCGAGATGGGGGGGACTGCGCCGGAAGCCGCCTCGTCAAAGACGACACGGAAAACAAAGCTCTGGTCACCACACACGGGGTCCGAGCAGGGGGCACAAGTGCCAGGTGGCACGGCCTCGAACAAGGCCTCGCTGGGCCTCAGTTTACCTGCCTGGCAAACGGGGACGCCTGCGACTCAGAGTCGCCGTGTGGTTCACACGGGCTCTGGCTGCGCTGGCCCTGGCGCTGGCCGAGGGGCTGCCCGCCGCGCCTACCTCCATGGGGTTGACGGTGATGGTCAGGGCGGAGTCGTCCCAGTCCATCTCGGTCTCCTTGCCGGTGTCCTGGTCCCGCGTCGTGCGCTGGTGAGCAGCCCGGATCCGGAACACGCCCAGGATGATCATGAACACCAGGAAGCTGACGCACACCACGATCACGACGGTCGCCGTGCTGGGGACCACTGCAACGGGATTGAGACGGGGGCCATGACCCCAAACCCCAGCTCGGGGGCCGCCGCGCCCACGGCCTCCTCCACACAGATGGCAGGAGCTTCATCAGACCCCGCAGGACACGAGGAAACACTAGAAAAGCTCAGCACAGGTTTCGAATCCGGGTCCAACTGCTGCCCTGCAGCCGTGGCCGCGTCTGCCCTGTCGGGGCTTTAGGCTCCTCGTTTGGAGCAGGAGCCGGGCTCTCGGCAGCAAGGCGGGGAGGGGCCCACAGTCCTACCTGCGAACGGGTGGGGGTTGGCCAGGTTGTGACCCGAGAGGTCGACAAAGGAGCGATGCTCAGGGTGGACGAACTGCGGCTGGGCGGCCATGTGGCTGGCGTGTTCCACGGGGTTGGCCGTGTGGATCACGTTTACCTGCAGCAGAGACAGAGCAGCCTGAGTGTTTCTGAGAGACGGACGTGCAGTTCGGGGGCTGACCCCAGGGGCACCCAAAGCGCTCCCTGGACTGGAGCAGGTGAGAAACGGACAGAAAAAACCAAGGGCAAGTGCTTAGGAACGGCTGTGACATGGCCACACACCCAGGGGATGTATCGCTGACTACGTAACTCATCCCTGTTGTATTGTATGAAGAAACCTGTCCACTCAAGGCCGGGAAAGAAACCAGGCAGCACCACTGCCCTCACCACAGGCCGGCCGAGAGGCACCGACTGTTCCCCCCTTTTCCCTGAAACCACAGCCGCCAAGGAGAGCACACGTCGTAACCATGTCCTGCCTTTCGAATCGTTACCCTCTGGCTCAGACAAAACACTCGTGGATTCTCTCGCCCTGTGGGGTTAGCCCCCCGCTGCTAGGAGGTGACCGTGGATGTGAGATGTTCGATTGCTGAGTGACTTTGGGTCTGTTTGTCCAGCCCACCGAAGCCCTGAGAGATGAGGGGCTACTGTGGGGCCCCTGAAGACGCAGGGGAGGGCCCCCCATCACAGCAGGCCCAGCCGTCTACACTGCAAACCACCTCCCCAACCTGCCTCCCTGGGCGCTGCTCTAACAGTGTCAAACCTCCAGAGACAGCCCCGGCCCTCCCAAGGCAGCCACTCACTGCCACGTGCTCGTGACCACCTCCCTCCAAAGGCCCCGGGCTCTCGGGCTGACGCAGCTGTGACGGGGGACCACTGTGCTGTACCCTGGCTGCCCCTTGACCTGTCTCCCCACCCTGAGTAGGTCTCACCAACAGCAGCCCCAGGCTGGAAAATACACCCTTGGGAGAAATCCAAGTAGGTGCCGCCACGGATGCCCTAAAATTGAGTGTCTGCTGATACCAGGGCCGTGCACGGGCCCTTCTCAGTGGGAGCCCCGCACTCACCTCCACCTGGAACTCATTGCTAATGTAGCGTCCGTTGAGCTCGGAGCAGACGAGCTTGAACTTCCGGTCAAGCAAGGACCTAGAGTTCCAGTTCCGATAGCGCAGGAGGTGCAACACCTCCTCGTAGCTGGCCATGGTGTCCACGCCTGCGGGGGGGGGGTGAGGGGGAT